TTATCTCCTGCCTCTGGTCATATCATTGATTGCAAGCTCTCATCAGGAGATGGTCCTTCCCTCCCCTCAGCAGCTCTGTCCCCAGCCCAGAAAGCAGCCAGCTAGACTCCTCCAGAGCCACCCTGCCTTTTCTAAAATAAACTAAATAGCAAAGTCCTTGAAAGTTGAAATGTTCACTGAGTGAAAGCCCAATCCTGAGAAAAAAATTCAGTGTCGTGTTTTATCTGGGTGCAGAGAGAGCAGCCTGTGCAGACTGTCGTGCTGGGGGTTGTGTTTTCACAGGGATTCTGGCTCTACTTAGTAAAAGCACTTGTAGCAATTTTTTATATGAAGTAATCAATGTGTAACTACAATAATGTTTCATCTGGAACCAACTGACCATATTCTATAGAATAATACTTCTCTGTACTTCTAATATCATTTAAAGCCAATGACTTTGAGACAGCCTTAAGGCCCTGGTTTGGTAATAACATTTTGCCTTCCTCAGATTGCCTTATAAAATTTCAGCCTACCAAGCCATGCACACTTACATCATATTGGAATAACTTGGCTAGAGCAAAAAAAAAAATTAAAAAAAAATGTAACTTCTATCTGTGAAATGGAAAGTTGAGTACCTAAATACACGATAGATGGCTCAGTGCAATGCTCTTCAGGAAAAAGCATATACTCTCCCCAGCTGCTTAGAATTAGGCCCTAACTCAAATCTATAAATCAGGTAAGAGAATACTGGGGCAAAAATACATGTCTTATGTGAGTTGACTTATTTCAGTATCAAAAATCAACATATAGGAGCGCTATCAGTGTTAATTTGTCTTCAGTTCTAGATAGTTCAGGTTGCATCCATATATATTCACATTCCTTATTCTCCATCCCACCATTTTCTAACTGGGTGCTTAATTTTGCTGAAAAAAAAAGAGTAAGTGCAGTTTGCCAAGGCCCTCTGCAAGCTGTTTGCTCTGAGTACACCTCCGTTCCCTCTCTTGTCTGACTTGCAAGGGTAGGACAGCAGAGATAAGGTCATGTTCCCCGCGTGACAGAAACTGGTGCTTTCTTTGGATTTCTCAGTCTTTCAGTCCCCTTGACTACCAACACATTTTAGAGAAACAAAAATGGAATATACTTCTAAATCCTGATTAAAACAGTCAACGTTCATCTTTACTTTAAATTGCTTTTTAAAAATGGCCAAATTGTGAAAAAATAAAATGGAAATAAATTTCCAAGAAAGATTTTTTTTCAGGTACTGTGGAACTGTTCAGATCTTTGCTTGGTGGCATTTTGAAAAGGCAATGCTTTCTAAGACCCTAAAAAGCTCCTTTTCAGAATACCAAGTAGCAGCATCAAGTGTCTTAACAGAAATAACATGACTGGTACTAACATGCTGGCAGTGAGCTTGACAAATGAAAATATTGATGGTCTCACTGCACCTAACACTATGAAATCTAATTTGCCGGCATCTTAGTCACATTTTAGAAGATCACCATGTGGAGAAAAAGCAATTCAATACCTTTAGATGTGGCTTATTATTAAATGACAATGGTTTTAAAGGCTAGGCTGATCCTCAGCGTTCAGAAATTTTTCTCCGTGTTTTGGTAACTGGCCTCCAGAGCTCAGCGTTCCTCTAGCACGTGCCAACCTGGCCCGTCGCCCTCCACGCTGGGAGCATCGCTCAGGCCAGGGCAGCAGCCGAGAGCCACTCAGCCCCGCCAGCCCCTGCTCGGAGCAGATCTGCCACTGCTGATCCACGAGCACGGGAAGTTTGGGTGTGAAGCGTTATTTCTAGTTTTGATTTATTTCTCGTTCAAGGGCAGAGGGGTTTGTAAGCAGCTGGGTAGTTGGAGATACACCTTCCAGCAGATTCAGAGCATTTGCTGAAGCTCCCTCACACACCCATCTCCATTCTAAATATATATATTTTTTATAAGCACAGCTGTCACTAGAGCTTTGCATTGAAATCTTGCTGTATATCAGGCTGGAGGTGGAAGAAGCCAAAGTAACTCAGCAGATGTTGCCGGATGCTTTAAAAAGTGCATTTAAAACCTCCCTAAGGACCTATGTAAAAAACAGCACCGAAGAATCACAGTTAGTGTTTTACACACACACACATAAACAGATCCATTAACTGAAATAGCCTTTTAACTGTTACTCATATTGAGCAGTATGAGCAAGCATGTCATTGTTTGCTGCCTTTATTGATGTATCTGCACTGTCTTCAGCAATCCTGTAAACCTGTTATTGCTGGGAAGAGCTGAGGAGCAGACTGATAAGCTGGGAAACAAGCACACAGCCGATAATGCCAAATAACCAGCTCCAGGATGGTCCAAGCCCGAGCCCTTACACCTTGGACTACACGCACCATCAGAAAACGTCTGTATCAGCAAGACTCAAGTGTAAGAGCACTTCCCAAGGAAGCAAAGGATTATTTGCCATTGCCAGGCTATTGCTGAATTTGTTTCTGAAAAAAGTCATCTGATCAGGTGTATAGCACACTACAGATGAGCATGAGGTACCCAGCCCCTGCACAGCAGGTACCCAGCCCCACGCAGGCACAGGGGCCAGGGCTTAACCACTGGCCTGGGCCAGGGCTGGAGGGGACAGGCTTTGCACCTGCAGCACAGGGAGAAGGAAGGGGAAAGAGCACAGAGGGAGGACATTGGAGTCTGGGAAGTGAAAAAGCCAGCAGCCTGGGCAGGAAAAGCTTTGCCTGGAAAGAACAGCGGTATCATGTGCCATCTGGAGGCTCACAGCAGAAATGAACTGTCTGTATTTCCTTACTGGAGAATTATTATGAATAATTATTATGAATAAATGGGCTTCTGCCAAGTAACAGGGACAAAGAACAGGCCCGAATCCTGAATCTTTTTCTTCAGATCAAACAAACAGTCTGTGGGCCTCCAAGCTTCTCCCTCTTGTGAGATGTGCAAACAGCTCCTTCCCTTCTGCCAGCAGAGCAGGCAGGAAGCGGCTCCTCCTGCTTCCAAGGCAGGTTTTCTGCTTCATTTGCCTCCTCCTCCCTCGCAGGCTGGGGGCTGGCACGGGCGAAGAGTTTGCCCAAACCAAGAGGAGGAAGAATGGAATGAAGCACAGCAATGGAGAGAGACACTGTTTGGTACCAACTCTGTGAACACTTCTGCAAAGTGCTGGCTTTCAGTGGCTCAATTTTCAGAGGTTTCAACAACACCAAGTCTAACATGAAGAGCTGAAAGGGACTCCCTGAAGCAGTGCCACAGGAACTGGAAAAAGGAAGCACAGTAACTTCCCTGGTGGGCATGAGAAGTGGGAGAACACTGCACCTGCCTACCTCAGAAGCAAGTAAGCTGTTGATCTTTGCTTGCCCCTCATTCTGCCCCTGGACAAAAGTGATTGCATCTGCATTTTGAAATAGTTTTCTCTTAGATCACCCAGGAGCTGTTAAAGACTTAGCATCCTTCCCATCACTAAGAGGCTTTTTCTTTTTGTGCAGTTTTCAGCTGTTTTTCCCTTCCAAGATCCCACTTCTGTCCACCTTCCACAAGAACATCTGCATGTGTTCATCTCCAAACTCCATTTGCTGCTTGGTAACACCCAGCCAGGAAGGGCAGGTAAGGGCAGCAGTATTTCTGACGACATCCCATTTAGTGAGCAAAGAACAGGACAGAAAAGTTATGTCCTCTCCTCTCTGACCTCCACCTTTTTAATCTCAAAGGCAGTAAAACTAATACATGACAAGACCAGGTACAGAGTGTGATTTCCAGATACAGGGGTTCAGCTCTACCCACCCAAACACACTAACACTCCAAATAGCAAAGCCAGCTGTTCTGGCTGTCGAAGTTCTAGTATTTCAAACCTATGTGATTTAAGATAAATAAAAAAGAAAAAAAGAAAAAAAGAAAAAAAGAAAAAAAGAAAAAAAGAAAAAAAGAAAAAAAGAAAAAAAGAAAAAAAGAAAAAAAGAAAAAAAGAAAAAAAGAAAAAAAGAAAAAAAGAAAAAAAGAAAAAAAGAAAAAAAGAAAAAAAGAAAAAAAGAAAAAAAGAAAAAAAGAAAAAAAGAAAAAAAGAAAAAAAGAAAAAAAGGTGCAGAAATTTGCTCCCCAAAAGTCTCCCTGAGGCTGATTGTCCCTGGCAGTGGTGGTCACCTGCTGCAGGTCCTACACTGCGAGGTTCATTGTCACGGCTTCTCTTGTGCAGCACGAGTCTCACCAGGAACCCTCGGAGAACCATCGTGTGGCTGGCACATGCTCCCACTGGAAGATGACAAGACAATGCTGCTTTTCTCTTCCCACCTCACCGTGAAGTTATTTTGGAAAATGCAGCAGAGTTACCATGGAGGATTACAATATTTTACAGCACATGTCAGCACCCCGTGATGAATGGGAGAGTTGCTGAGGGCCAGTATCACCCTCCAGACATGTGATCCTCCTTGGGAGCAATTCAGATGGCAACCAAGAATGGAAACTAAGAACTTCAGAAGAAAGGGATTTAACTGATATAACGTTATATGCATCTACAGTCAGGTGATCCATAATCAAGAAGCCAGATATAACATTACAAAGACATTTCCGCACAGCCTTCTATCATAACCTGCTGACAACAGAGTATCTCCTTCAACGGATGAAAAAGTCCTCATTTTTGTTTTTCTGGAAATAAATAAGTCTTAGAAACACTGGTCCTCCCCCAAGGCGATTTCAGTGAGTGGAAATCTTTTGATTAATCTTGGATGAAGCTGCTGTTACGTTAACTGGTACCAAGCTCTTCATCTGGAGGAACCACCAACTGCAGGGACACATTAGCATGAGGCCCTGGTCCTGCCAGGCCAAGCCTCAGTGACAGATTAACACCCTCCGCAGGGAGCCCCAGTGACCGTAACACACATATGACTCCAGTGCCACCCTAGAGGATGGGAGCCCACTTTCCTCGTCCATTATAAAGCCCTTCTAAGTTAAATGGGTATTTTGGCAAATTAATTTTATTCAAAAGGAATGGAAAAGAAAACCCCAAGAAAGGAAAAACAAGACAAAGTGCTCTAGGATGATGCTTTTTAATTGTTATTTTTATATCTTTAAAAACAAATCAAACCATTAAAAACATAGACATGTGCTGAAATTTCCTGTACAACAAATATGAAAACAATAAAATTTGTACATCATTTCAAGATATTCAACAGTCACTTATTTGAAACACATCAACTTTTCCCTTCTTAAGCAGGCCCCAAATGGGAAAAAGAGTAGAACAGAAATGCAACTGCCACACAGTAGAGCTTTCAGCCTGAAAAGCGGATAGCTTAAGATAAGCAACAGCGAGAGAAAAAACTGACCAGAGACAGATCTCAGCAATTATAACACAGAGAACATCAGAAGGCAGGGAAAAAGTATTTGCAGGAATTCAAGTCATCACGACCAAGACAGATCCACAAGGCAGTAGAGCGTTACCTGTAATCCTCCTCTTGTAAGCATGCAAGCATGTTCTACTTATTCACAGCCAGACAACTTTGTTTACAGCATTTTAAGCCTTACCAACTTTTTCCACCTATACCTGGGATCAGCAGGTGATTTACTTCAAACTTCAATCTCTTCTCACAATGAGTCAGTTTTGGGAAAACACATGTATGCAGTTGTATTAAAAATGGATACTCACGAGATGATGACACAAGTGAGAATTCGGCGCCTGCTTCCAAAATCAAAACAATGGGACAGCTATGTTTGTTTTCTGTAAGAGTATCTGAGTGCTGGCTAGGCAAAACCACGTGCCATTCCAGCTAGTTTTCTGATGTTCTGCTGCAATATAATGCAAACTATCCAAGGAGGATCTAGCGCAGAAAAATTAATCTCCTCCTCCTCTGTGCTATAGAAAACACGAGCCTTCTGAAGAGAGACAGCATTCGCCACCCTACGGCAGCAAGTTCTTGGGAGACCTGGAATAATGAATGCTAGCTCTGTGCTCTGCACAGATGTGCAGTAATTAAAAGATTAAGAGAGGAAAAAATAACATGACTGTAAAGGGGCAGACTTTCCTCCCTCCCAGTTCCTTTGGAATGGTTCTGTTTGGTCCAAGTGGTTTATCTTTGTGTGTCATCTGACAGCAGCTTAGAACAAATGCCAGGTGAGAGATCCACTATGTGGTCTGCCAGTTTGGATGGAATTGGGCAGGATCATTAACCTCGTGTTTGGTTTGTTTGTTTGTGTTTTTTTTTTTGTTTTTTTTTTTTTTTTTATTATTTATTGTTTTAAAGTATCTCAGAGAGAGGGAAAAAAAAAAGTATTCGAGAAACCACAAGTGGCTGCTACAAAACAAAAAAAAAAAAAAAAAAACCCACACAAAAACCAAAAGCTGAAGTGCACTGTGGTTTGTCCTCCAGTTTTGCTCACACACAGCACACCACAATTTCACACCAGATTGTAAAAAATTCCTCTGGACATCTGTAAAGTTACAGTTGTGCACCAGGAATTCCTACATCTTCCTTCAGCTGACAGTGGATTCCATAAGGTTGCCAGGTTCCACTGTCATGCCACACATACTCCTAGTATCTGTAGCTTTTTCTGACAACTTTGTTAAAACAAACAAAAACCCTAAAACACAGACAAAAAAAAAAAAAGCAGCAGAATTCCAGGGACTCTGGTTATTAAACCTTCATAAGATTTTCACCACTTTATAGCTATTCTATAGCATTATTCATAAACTTCATACTCCTCTGCAATGCAACCAGTGCAATGATCAAAAGACCAAAAAACAACCCCCCCCAGCTACTTCAGAAGTCCTTCATTGGTAATGCCTTCGTAAGTCTAACAGTTATGTACCAGCAAAATAAATCCAATCTCATCCTTGACTTGTAAAATCAACAACTAGGGGTTTTCTGCTTGTTTGTTCTGTTTTTAAAAGGACTAGTTAAAACAACAGCAGCACTATATTGCAAATAATTATAAAACAATTACATTAGATCAATGAGATGCAGTCAGGTAAGATGTGTCTCAGTTTTGAATGGCTAAAAGAACTGAGAAATTGGTCTTTACAGCAGAACTTTGTGCAATTTGTTTTGGTAGAAACAGTAAAGCCAGTCAATCTGTTTGGGAGTGCTTGAACGCTTGGAACCTTAGTTTCAACATTTTCACAGATTTATATATTTGAGGAAAAACAACAACAATGATAAAAAGACACCAACCTGAGTAAAACTCTATTAAAATAGAGTGATCATTATTCAGTAAATTATATATTGCACCTTTAAATAAATCACTATAAATTGTATAAAAACAGGAATATCAGCCAGGAACAGGGAGGAGCTATTCTGTCCTTCATACACACCCACACACACCCCCGCACACACATTCATGTATTCACTTGCTCATTTTTTTTTTTTTTACTATAGTTAAAGCTCGGAATGACAGACCACACTCCTTTTTCCTCTAGCAGAGGCACCGAAACATTAAGGCAGGGGATATTTGTGGTGAAATGCAAAAAACAAAGCTCACCTCCAAACTTCTGGAGAGTCCTGCCAACAGTGCAACTACAGTTACGTTTGACATAAGCCTTATTTAAAAAAATCTGTGTTCTCATTAAGAGTTTCAGTACAAAAATAGAATCTCTGCTGTTTTTTTTTCTAGAGTAGCAACTAGAAAAGGCACAAATTCCAAGTATAAATGTCCACTTGAAGGAGCTGTTTATACTCCTTTTTTAAATAAAAAGGAACACAGGAAAAAAAAATAATCACAGAGGCACATATCTATTAGCTAAGTAACCAGATACAGTAGATAAAATATGTTCCTGAAACTTATAATTAAATATATTAAAAGAGCCCACAAGCCTGGTGTCTGTAAATGAAGTCATATAAAATTGTAATAAAAAGCTTGTGTTATTATTTTAATATTTAAATTCTAGTTCACTGTTCATACTGCAAATGCTATTTCACCTATCAGTACTGTTAAATTCCCAACAAAAAGCAGGATTCCCCTGTTAACTTTAAATAGTTTTGTTTGTTGGTTTGCTTTTGTTTGTTTGTTATTTTTTTTTTTTTTTGCTATCAATCTGTGGCTCCTGCCAGCATTGTGGTTTTCTTCCTGTAGATCACATCTTCTAATGTGGACAGTCCTGGAGAAGCCAGACACGAGACACTGCACAGAATCCTGGAAAACATGAGCAGAACATCTTCCCTTCCTCTGCGCAGGTAACACCTCCTGGAGACACCGCATTCTGTCCAGGCTACGCGTGGTAGCCATTGGCCTTCCCAAAGCCTGGCCCCGGTGTGAAATTTTCATAGATTGCCATTGCTGTCATGTTTTGGTAAATAAGATCGGTTCTCTTGTCTTTCTGGGATCTAATAATATCCATTACACACTGGTTTAGGAAGACGTACTGGTCCTGATGGGAGAAAACTAGAGGGTAATATGTTTCTAGAAAATACCTGATTTTGGAAGTAATTCTACTCCTGAATATAGGTTTTGGGGTTTGGATGCACTGCCCTGAAGGTTATCACAGTATTTTTTAGAAGTTGTCTATATACTTCATAGAATACAGGGCTGGAAAGGATCTCATGATGTCATCTGATCAACTTCCTGTAAAAACCTAGGATCAAATTTTCTGTTGTGTCCAACACCCTCTTAAAAGGCTTTCATGATGGAGATTTTACAGCCTTTTTCAAATCAGTTTGAGTTAATCCACACACCTCTTTGATCCTGCAGAGCACAAAAGAAAAGATGCACACCACGACCACTTGACACAAGATATCTCTGGCTCACAGCTCTAAGGATAAAACTCATGGGTAAAACACGCTGCAAAAGAACCTTTTCGGGATTTGGTTCTTTCCAGTTGCAAATGCCAGTCCTACAAAGTGCTCTGTAAAGAGACTGCTTGGAGGTACTACAGCTCCTGGCTGCAGCTACTGTCGTGAGAAGTAACGAGGCAGGAGATAGGGAGATTAAACAAAGAGCAATTTCAAATTGCTCCTTAATATCTTGCCTTCCTGTAATTCTGAGCTACATCTTGTGCCCACCCTTCCTGGATTATTACGCACATTTGAAAAACATGCAGCTGGATGAAAGACAGCCTTACCTCAGTTTGCACCATCAAAGGTCGGTGCATGCGAAGATCATAAACCACTCCGTACACATCCACAGTATTCTCCATTTCAACCTGCTGAATCAGGCGGTCGATGGCAATGAAGGTCCCTGTCCTCCCGACACCAGCGCTGCAATGACACGGGGAAGCTCGTTACTGCTTTCTCTCAGCCACCTGCTCACCGGGGCCTGACGAAAAGCCAGTGAAGCTAGTAAGATGCCTTTTGTTATTTCCGTGGCACAGGCATTAAAAGTCTCTGCAGCCCAGAGGGGTGGTTCTCACCATCACCAGGAGGGAGGGACACGCACTTCTGGGCTTCCCAGCCTTGCACTTGCACAAGATTACATACAGAAGCACGTGAAGATGCAACTATTTCAGCTAAGTTTTCCAGTCTAGGAGAGAGGGTACGTGAAATTTTGTATCACGTACTTTGCTGCCTACATAGCATCACTACATTTCTGAAGCACCGGGCAAAGGTTTTAATTAAGCAGGGTGAATAGCCCATGTTCTTAAGCAAAGAGACTTCTTTTTTTTTTTTAAATCACATTGAAAAAGAATCGTTCTTTAAAAAGCCACAAGATAAAAGTGTGTCTAACACAAACATATTCTTCCTACCTGCAGTGCACCAGAGTAGGAGAGTCAATTGGATTTTGACTGCTGTACTCATGAACAAGGTGTCTAAAGTTGATGAGAAGGTCTGTTGTCTCTGGCACTCCATGATCTGGCCAGGAGGTGAAATGGAACTGGCGCACTGTGTGGCTCTCTGGTGTGTTGCACTAGAAGAATACACATTAGATAAAAAAAAAAAGAAAACCAGATTCAGAGGAACAACAGCAGGGCTTCCTGCCACAGATACTGGGCAAAGTTCAGTTTTGTTAAAGATGCCTGTTACAAACTGTACAGTAATATTTCAGTTTTCATCTTCCTTCTGCTCTGGTAAAGAATACTTCAAAATAATTTCCTTTTACTTTTTAATTTACTCCCAGATCATCTCTGCTGCATTACATTTTCTGACATAGATGGGGCTAACTTCAGTCTAGCAGATATTACAAGTATCTGCATAAGCACAAGTTCTGGCGCAAATCTCAGGGAAACACGAGCTGCAGGATCACTGATGGGGCCATCAGTAATTCCCATTAGCAGCCTGGATTTTGCTGGCAGATCCCTTTCAGCCACAGGGAGGGACTTCCTGACAACTCATTCCCATCTCTGCCTGTGTTACTAAAATACTGTTGTGAGAAGCCAGGGCATGTGAACAAATGCATACACATAAATATCACAGGAATCTTTTTGTCAGTAAATAGCACGAAAGATTTAAAATCTGCCTTTTGGCAGAAAGCAGACAAATACATTCAAAGCCTCAAATTAAAATAAACCATTCTTATCCTTTTCCCATCAGATAACTTTGAATTTGATTAAATTTTAGTGAAATCGTTGTATTCTGTCACTCCAGTGTTGCTTGACATGTGAAGTCACAGTGATACGGTAAGCCATTTCTACAGATATTCATACACTAACAACTAACAACTGAGAGGGGGGTACACACCTTTTCTACAGTGAAGTCCCTTATTGTCCATTCTGGAAGGACAACCTCTGAGACCATTGTCACAATAATGTCACCATAGCTCTTGGACTGTTTGTCTGGCCAGTATTGCTCACATTTTGTCTAAGAAGAGAGTTACAAGGTTAGACACATTACAGCAATGAAGCAACTGACTGTTCGTTTTAAGTAAGAGACCACCTGAAGCTGGGCTAAAAAGCACGTCACCCTTCCCAATGGCCTGTCCCAGGTCAGGAGAAGCTCTACCAAAACCATTCTTTAGGGAGAAGAACCCACCCTGAAAGACAACGATTCTACAACCCTCCTGAGACAATCCACTCTGGTAGTCAGCAGATACAAAAATGGGAAAAAGCTAAAAAGTAACTGGGCTTATTTAATTTTGAAACAGTCTTCCAGTAAGAGATGGTTGTTAAAAGAAAGAAGTGGTCAGTCTCCAACCTACTAGTGTAGCTACAAAATGAGAAGAGATCCAACAGTTTTCAAGAGACAGTTCAGTTTTAATAAAAACATACCCGGGCTTGTTCAACACATTTTGTCAACATAACAATAGAGTAGATATTCTTCTCCCAAATCATGCGCCAGAAGTCTTCTATAGTATTGGGTAAAGGACCCTGTGCAGCAATAAATGCCTTCTTTGAGTTATAGCCCTAAGAATTAAAAAACAAAAGGAATATATATATGTACACACACACGTGCATCAATGAGACATAAAAAGCCCATTTTAAACATTGGTATGAGCTGTTAAGCCTACATCATAAAAATACACATTATATTTCATTTCAACTAATGAAGCAACTTACAGGCATATAGTTTGCATTAATATAATCATCAGTTGTAGAGCTTTGATCTGAAAGTTTAACACGAGAAATATCATCTGCAGAAAGAAAAGAGGAAAAGTACGAATTTTAGAACTAGAACCTTTCAGTAAAATATTGCTTATCTGATGCATAGTTTCCATATAAAAGGTGGTTTAGAACAATGTGCATTTCAAGAATAAGAATATAACCTTAGGAATCATAAATAGCAGTAGATTAGAATTTTTATGATGAAAGCCTTCAGAAAAATGAGTGGCCAGGATAAAGATTCAGCATACTCAACACAGATTCTTTTTTTTTTTTTAAACATGGTTTGTTTTTGCATATTTATGTATTTTTAATCCAACACAAAATTTACTGTTGTTTTAATTACTGGAGAAAAATAGGTAATTTGTCTCCTGCTGCCATTGCAACTGATGTTTTTCCTCCAAAGCATCCCTAAGTACCCATCACTGTTCACCTTCCAATTCCTTCTTACGCTCTGCTATGTGGGGGTGCCCGCAGGCAGCCTGGCAGGGCTTCGGCTCTTCGTTCATCTGCAAAGCCAGCCAGCAGGATCTTCACAGTTCTTACTGCTCTGCACATCTAACTGTCTGCAATCAGTGGTTAACCTCTTGTTTTTTCAAACTGACCGCAGGTTTCTCACAAATGGAAAATTAAAATGATTTAATTAAGGGAAGGTTCTTTAAGGAGCTTTCTTAAGGGAAAGTTTGGGGACTTTAGGGAACATTCTTGAGGGAAAGCTCTTTAGGCTTGCTTATACGGTGATTTTGAGAAGGCATCAGCCCAAATTCATTCATGTGGAAATTGATGACATTAATCTCTGTTTGAAACCTCTGGGTACTATTAAAGCCAAATTAGCCCAACCCCAGGTTTTTCACCTAAAAACTCAACCAGTAGAAGATGCAAAACCAAAGAGCGTAACTCACATGGTAACACGTTGTTGTATCTATTTTTTCCTCGGTTCTCAGCAAGTTCAGCAGCAAATTTGGGCTGATGAACACCAGCAGACTTGAGTTCCTACAATTAAAGAAGGGTTCATGAGCACCTGGTCCTGGTTTAGAAATCGTACAGAAACACATGCCAAATGGACAAATGGTTCAAACACTCTTGGCCTCTGCTGTAAAAGTAGGCATGTTAAGCTGGGATAAATGACAATAAAAACAACCTTTTTACAGGGTGGGACAGTGACAGTGGCAAACCTGACAGAGAAGGGATTAATACAGAGTGTGGGAACAGTAGCGTGTTTAAAAGCCAGAGATGGGCTTCAAAAGCCCAGAAACGGTTTTGCAGAAGTACACAACACTGACATCAACAGCACACTTGTTCTGACCCCAAGGCAGTGAACTGCTTCACACGAGCTTTGCAGACATTACAGGGAGAAAGGGAGCAAGCACATCATGAAAGGACTGAAGGAAGAAAAATCTGACAGGAAGGCAAGGCAGAGCAACCGCCTGCAAAATACAATCAAAGGGCCAGAATTTGATCTAGAAAGAAGACGACAGGTAATAAATAGCTTCACGGAGATGAAAAAAAAAAATGGGTTCTTTAACAGCAGACATGACAACACAGAATTCTTATTGACACTTGATTTGTGTCTTTTGTACCTTGTAACAATTGAGCTTTAGCACATTTCATAGAAAAATATTTATGGTCACTAAGCAAATCATAATTGCTGTTTCTCTGACTGCTCCTTCTATTCACAAGTGTGGTTTGCAAGTCACACCTATGCACTAAAGTCAGTGATTTTAGCAACAGACCTGTCTTGCTGTATTGAAAAACAAAAACAAAATAAAAAACCCGAAGTGCAGAGAAGTTAAACAGCTTTCCCTAGGCTAACTCTGTAGTGTAACTATGGCAAGGACTCAGGAGATCCTGCCTCTGGCGAGAACTCTGATGAGCAGGCCATGCTACAGGCTCACAAGTAGAGATAGTTCAGGATGTGAAGTAGGTACCATGCACTTCAAGTAAATTTGGAGCTGAATCAGGGAAGGGAAGGCTACGCATGCATCTTAATAATCTCTATAATAAAGGTCCTCTCTGTTCCCCTTCAGTAAGTCCCACATATGCTTCACAGAAAAGCTAATGTGCCTTTCCAAAAGTATGTCATGAAGCTCTCGCACTGAGGGCACATACCTCATACTCTTCAGCAAAACCACAGTTGGAGTCAGCTTGCTGCTTCTTGAAGTAGGACTCAAAGTTCTCCACTTTAATCATTTTTGATCTAAAATGAGAAAAAACATGTATTGGTAACTGGTATTAGGTAAATGAACCATGAATTCAGTTAATCTGTTAGAAAGTGTGCTTTACTTACTTCTTGATTCTTCAGGGGAGGGTGGGGGGAAGAAAAAAAGGTTGATTAGACACATGCAGCTGTATTTTTCACTATGTGAATCTAAGAATGAAAGCATGACTGTTAGTAGCAGCCACAAAACTGTGCATTTACAGGGGACAGGATATCAAGCAGAGCATTTAACTGATCTGTTAAATCAAGGAGAGAATAGTGCATCCTTCAGAAGAGTATCACAGAAGGTGTCAGTCAACCGCTTCTGTACTCCCATCAGATTGGCCCCATCCCCTGGTGAATTTTATGTCAGCTAACGAAGTCTACACAGGTGGGACTTCGTGGGATGCTCTAGCCATGCCTTTCCATCACCACAAAAATGGTGCAAGACCCAATAATGTGATTCGATTGCACTGCTTGTGACTTCCAATATGTTGTGGTTCCCTTCCCATGGCCAGCTTTTACAGTCTCAACATTATCTGAATTAATGGCTTAGAACAAAGTAGTCATTGAGCAAAGGAAAATTCAGGCAATAGTGCAGAATTTTGCCTGTGTGCACTTTATCAACAATTTGGATTGTTTTCTCTATGTGAAAAGAAGCCTATGTTTCATTCACAACATCCTGTTTTTCAAAACTATGTGGAACATTTGTGAGTCTAACAGCGATTCATGAAGCAAGCACTCAAATCCCTGTGGCAGCTCTAGAAGTCTCAATCAATATGATTAATTTTAGTCTGCAGGTTGAAGTCTTTAAATTCCATGAGGAATTAATACTGCAGAATTCTATACAAAACTGCACAAAAAACAAGTATCAGGGTTCAGATTAAGTTTTGCAAATAACACTTGAGCCCAGAAGACAACATGTGAAAGGATATGGACTTACTTAATTGGAGAAAAGGACACTTCAGTATTTCTTTTATCTTTCCTATAAGGCAAAAGAAAACAACACAATAGATTCACATTAGAATTTAATAGAATGCACATGAGATTTCTGATGACAGCTATTTCCTGTGTCTGTTCAAAACAATTTCTTTTAAAGCATCTTGTTCTGTGCAAAAAACCCCTCCTGAGGCAAACCTTATACCTGGAGTAAGAACAAAATACTTCATCCTTCATTCAGTGACGCTGTGAAATGAGACCGTTTCTTTTTGTGGGAACCACAGTATGACTCCTAAACACAAAGCACACAGTTTGATGGAAGAAGTACAACTGAGGGATCTGCATCACCAGCTAACATCTCAGGAGAATTGTTACTAATCCCAGAATCCTGACAGTAAGTGTTCAACAGTGACATGTCAGTGGCACTGGAAGTGGTAGCTGAACGAAAGCAAGTGCTCCTAGCTTTAAAGCAAGCTCTTCTCATTATTGTCCACAGCTGTTGGACACAGATGTAAAAATAACAGCAATTAATCAAAGAAACTAAGAAAACTGGACTAAGGACCCTACAACTAACTCTTTAAAAAGCATATACCACATGATCAGAAGCAGGAAAAAGCCTTTGTGTTCTCTTAAATCCCAGATTATTTGGAAAATATTGGAAACTGAGAGACCAGCTCAAAGCCTAGGCAACTCACCAGCTCCTGGAAACTCCAGAATGGAAGTTTCATGTGACAGGCCATCAAGCTAGTAAAAAGTGTGATTAATGGATAATTTAAAATAAAACCATCTAAGATACAATTACACATGTATTTTAGCACAATAATTTGGGATGTTCGCTCACTTCTGACTGAATTACTTCATCAGCATGCATGAATTCAGAAGAGCTGAACAAAACAAATCATAGTTTGTAACTATGAGATTGAACAAAGTAATTTAACTAGTTTGCTATATCAACTCTGTAACACAAGATTTTTTTAATAGAATGTATTTTAAAGCATCATGACAGAAATGTGTAAAACGGAAAAGCCTGTTTAGGAGAAACAGAAGTGAAATACTGGTGTTCCTCATCACAGCAAATACAATAATGAACACATATTACCTTCTCCTCCTCCAGAATATGAAACCCCCTACAGCGACTACAGCCAATATAGCTAAAAGGCATCCAATAACAGCTCCAGCAATAACACCTGATAAAAGAGAACAAGTATTACTCATTACCGATTTAGGTTGTTGATAATGATCTAACTCAATCAACATGCTACAAGAGAACCTCACAAGTGACAGAGCATACAAAATGTCTTTTCTATACTGTGTCCTTTTAGCAGTACCAGTATAGAAAGCTCATTAGAATAATAAACCAAGGATGATAAATTAATAAAAAACTGGCATCAAAGGACCAGTATCTGCATTCTAATACACTCACTTCTAATTTACCAGAACTGTCAGAACATCAGCTGCTTTTTGCTACTTGTTTCTGTGCCAAAGTCTCACTGTCCCATCCAATTCCTTTTAGCATGCCATGAGCAGCACAGCTTTTGGTTACTTCCACAGTCAAAGTCATACATGGGAGAAGGAGGTCACCCGCAGAACTCGCAAGGTATGAATTTACAGAGCAGTGTCACTGCAAAGCTAGGAAGAAACAGTCCATCATGGAGAAACCAGCAGGTGTTTTGCTGTTATGAAACTTGCCATAATTAAGGGGTCTCCACATAGTGAATATGTACCAAGCTGCCAGTCCTATATTTGACATTAACTATACCTGGATCCTGGGGTAGCAAAACCGCCTCAGAACAGGGTGAAAATGATACATAACTATCTTCCCCCACAATGATGTCGGCCACATTAAAGGTTATATTAGTGAAACCCGCAACACTTGCTCTGTTGATAAGGGAGAAAAAAAAGAAAAAACAAAACCAGGTATATTACATGGTTTGCACAGCCTTAAGCAAGATCTGCAATACTTTCATTAGATCATCTTTTAGTTTTCAACTGCAGCAAAATTAACCAAACAGTGGTTTGAAATAAATACCTGTATGAACGAAGTGGAAACAATGGTCCGTTTTCGTAGCCATACATTGTGTTTCCCTTGCCTACATTAACGATGTTTGTACCGTTCTGAGGATGGAAAGAAGGTGATTTTCTCTCTTCTGTATTTATGACATATGTTACATAGGTGACTGTCATCGTCTTCTTGAAGTCTTTGTATGTGTTGTTCAATTTAGACTTCAAAGACCTACAACCTTCAGGAAAAAACAAGGATGTATGTGGCATACATCATCCACTGATTTTGCATCAGTCGGCACAGTGGCTGAGATGATCACATTAACCACAGTTGTCATTACTTCATAAATACTGCCTGAAACAACAGGCTGAGTGCAACAATCTCAGCAATCTCTTCTATTGCAGCGCAATCTACTGAACTACCTCCCTACTCCCCAGTGTTGTTTGTTTTAATCTCCTTTTGGTTTTACTTCTGCCATATATAGTGGAGCTTCTCTGTAAAGATACTTTAGTGGTGGATTCCAGTGTCCTCGTGGACAACCTTCACTAGACAGGTCAGTCATATCCATACACACTCCATCAACCATCATATGTAGAGAGTACAACACAAACAGTGTAGAAGAATTCAACTGGTATCTGGTAACATTGTGCTACACAAACAGCATCAAACCTCATTCAGGGTGATACTAAACTTGTCCTGACCTATACTCCCTTGCTGTGTTTCACAAGAAGTCTCACACCTAAACCCTAAGAGACAAGAGTTAATTTCTGCTTTTTATTGACATAGATAAGCATTGGACAAAACACTGATCAGAACAGTTTCTCCTCCAGAAGACTAAGAAGAATGGGCTACCGCAATCAAACAGTGACCAACAGGACACCATCTGCAGAACAGCATCACTTCACAGTTTCTGCTGTTAGAAGATGAACCCTAGAAACTTGAGGCAGATTATACAGTCGAGGCACATGTGATGATCTAAGAGGCAATAAACAAGCTCAAATTACCAGTGGTACAACTCCTCAAGAGCAAGCAAACTGACATAAATATTTAAAGTGGTGTGGGAGGAAGAAAAATCGTGCTCATTTGACTGAAGTTTGCATACATTGCTCTCTACTGACTGCCTTTACAAAGCTAAAAGCAGATACAGTATTGAATACACCTTTGAAAAGGACAAGCCTTGCAGGAGCTCTGAAAGCTGGAAAAGCTCTATTAAGTTTTCTACAGTTGTGCAGACAAGGTTTGATCTGCCACCAGCAGAAAAGCTCTCATTGTGCAGGAACAGGGTGCAAACCAGGCTCTTCTAAAGCATTAGTTTGGTTACATTAAAAGCAGCAGAGGTTGCAGTTCAGTTGCCTAGAAATGGGTGTTCAATACTGTCTGAGATACACTATGTGTCCTGTCTGGTCCCTGGATTCCATTCCATAAGGATGTACATCCCAGGTTATATCTGCAGCTCCTTGCGGATGCCTTGGATATCACCCTAGGACATCTCAAACAGCCTTAGGCACCATTGCTTACACAACTGAAGAAAGTCCCTTCTGTCTACTCTAAAGGTAATGACATCTGTTTTCAGACAGAGAAACACATCTCAAGCATATTAATGCTATTTCAACACTATAAAGCTGAAGTGATGCTTGGCTGTAAGGATGGTTTCCTGCTGTTATCAAGGAACTCAGACTCCATATTATAAATACAGGAACTCTCCCTTCCTTATTTCTCTCAATCACATCTCGGATGTCCTCTTTCTTGAATACCTTGCAATCAAAACCACACAGAAAACCACACTGAGTCTCAAGACTGAACAGGACTGGCTGAAGATACAAGGAGAGCTGATGCTGTGTCCAAGATGACTGACATTCAAATCATCAACCCTGGGGCAGCTGAGTAGGCATGTGAAAAATGGGAATTTTCTGCACTGATGTACTATATAGATATGGGCATTTCTTGGACATGTATTGTATGGAAAACCACAGAAGAAAGATCTACAATCAAACTGCTGCAAGATGAATTTCCAGTGTTAAAGGATAAGCATGAATGTCAAAACGCACTTGGGGGAACTATCTCCATCAGCTGCTTTATTCCTCCAGTGCACTGGCAGAAATTAAATTCAACTAGAACCTACACTGCAAAGAAAAGTTCCTTAATTTTATAATTTGTCACTAGACATTCACCAATTAAAGACATTTCTCTGTTTTGAAGTGAGTTTGATAGACTACCCTCTAGCTTTCCATGGTGTTCAACCTCCCATGGCACATAATGCTGGCAATGCCATTGCAGCCTTCCACTAGCACCCCACCTCTCTCAGTTTTAAGTGAAATCAGAAGTGTTTTAAGTGAAATCAGAAGGAAAACATCTCTTTTTTCTTGTTTGTTGTTTTGTTTTGTTTTCCCCCCCTAAGATTTTTCTGCAGGTATCTTCCAACTGAAGAAGGGAGGGAGAAAAATATCCCACATTCCAAAGCTGCTTATATTAGTAGCTCTGAAAATTATTCTGTGGGGAGAAAGAAGGATACTACACAATCTTGTGGCAAATCAAGATGGCAACAAGTGGCAGTACGTATGAGACTTACATACAACGATACATCAGGCTGGAAAAGGCTGAGTGAAAACTGTGGCCTTCTGAAAACAAGGAGTGATCTGACTTCAAGCGAGCAAGGTATTTGACTCATGATTTTTGGAAGGTTATTGAAAATACCGACTCACCTTCTCTATTTAACAGCTATTTAGAGTTTAAAACATAACGCTGTCTGGTAACTTGTTTCACACAGCTACAAGATAATATCATAACATCTTACCTTGTTCTTCTGTTGTGATCATTACTGCATAGGCTTTTAATGGTCCATTCACTGACTCAAAATCAGAGAATTCAACAGACAATGAGCTGTGACCGACTGCCTTGACTAAAGGAGCTTTGCTTGGAGCAGGTGGGTCTATAAACAGAAATAGTTTTTAGTACCTTGATGACTGATAAAAAAAAGTTTTCCAAACAAGGACATGCTGTAATACTGACGCTGTTCATATAATGCTATCTATTGTGAGTCACAGTAGACACTGCATGAATGTAGTGTTTTATCCATAGTCTGGACTCTGATAATGTACCGCATAGCAAGTTGGTATTCTGCAATCATGAAGCCAACATTTTGGTCCTATGAGTATCTTTTATTCTCAAATCTTAATGCTTACCAGTAATGCTTGTATTACATATTTTCTGTACTGGAGGGCTTTCAGAACTATTGGAAAGAGTTGCAATAGTAACAATATAAGTCCTGAAATAATCTAAAGACGCTGTTCTGAAGGTTTCCTCTGAGCCTTCTCCCATGCAGGATGGAGTCTGTTCCTCTTTTTCCCACGTATTATTCAATATTTTAATTTTGAAGCCAGAGTTGTTACCAGAAGGACACTCCCACTTCAGCATTAGGGAAGAATGCTTGGCCACTGGTTCACACTGAAATGAATTTACTAAGGCAGGAACTGCAGGGAAAAAAAAAAAAAAAAAAGTAAGAAATCAAGCATTGTAATAAATAGAAAAAGCTGTCTATTTGTGAGTTCTGACCGGAGACTCTCTTAATGGATTCATCCTGGGGCACCTCTGGAAACCCTACTGGGGAGCACTGGGACAGATTCACTTCACCTCAGCCAAAACAGGGCAAAGCGAAGGAAAGGGCACAGCAACGGAAAGGGCACAGCAACATATTGTTACAACAAGGGGGAAAAATGATCACAATCCCTAGCATGAGAAACACAGGAGTACCTCAACCTTCTCCCCTCTGCTGATGAGCTGGCAGAGCAGCGTGGCTGGTAGCCACAGAGCACACTGCTGCCCACAGCCCAGCTGTAGCCCCTCCAACAGGGAATGTTCCCCAGGTACAACGCATTCTGTGGGAGCCCTTCAAAATAAGGAACTGAGGGCCTCACCCACAAGGAAGAGAAGGCAACAAAACCCCTCATGGAACCCCCATCCACACATTAACACTGTTGACTGCAGGTAGGCAGTGTGCAGCACTTCTGCCTGAAACAATATTCTATTTCAACTGTCAGACAGGTAGGCAGATCCCTGTGCTGCACAGCAAAATACAAACCACCAGAAACAGGGCTGCAAGAAACTCTGACTTACTTGTATACAGGTATATGGACAGTCCTTCTCCTTCCGTCTGACCATCAGCCGCCACTGTGAATACTGTGAAACTGTACATCATCCCAGGGATTAATTTGGTAATTTCAGTTCTGGTGACACTGGATGTCAGGTTCCTAACAGAGGTACCGCTTACAACCTCTATCCTGTACGTGTAGGAGTTGGAATCAGTGTCGTTCACCACCCACGTTAAATTGACAGAAGTCATGCCAACATATTCTGCCTTGAGATCGTGGATTGGGTTGGGCTCTGTGAAAGGCAAAACAACAACCTGTCAACCTGCAAGAACATCTGCTCACACACATGGACAGAACACACACAGGCACACCACTACCTCACGCTCTTCACACCACCCATTGCTCAGGGTGCAGGAGCACCCAACATCACCAGATGCTCCTGGAGGCTTTTGTGTCAATGGGCAGCTAAGGGAGGAGTAAGGTTGTTCTGAGTGGGATTCATCTCCCTTTGACATTCCAAAGCAGAAGCACAGGTCACCACTGCGCCAGCGCTCCCAGGATTTTGCTCGGGAATTCAGAGGTGGGCAGGAAAGACACGAGGTTGCAGGAGAAGGTGGAGAAAGCACATGGTGATGTATCTGTGCACAGCAAAAGGTAAGGTACACTGAACGTCAGTGGAACAGGAGCAGAGGTGATGACCCAGCAACCGTGCTCCTTCACCACCCTTCATACCCTGAGCTTACTCCTGAGCCTGTGCTGCCTGAAGCTCACTCTCCTGCTGCAGCCTAGTGACAGCCACAGGCCCCCAGTCACACAGGTTCCCTGGGCACAACACACTCCCTCTTTGTGGGAGCCCTTTAAAATAAGGGTCTAAAGCCTCCACATCCTCCAAGAAGTGAAGGCAGCAAAACTGCCCACACAAACCCCAGGCCAGGGAAGCAGGATCTCAGGAACAGTTACTTCATTGTGTCAGAGGCCTTGGTGACCACCTTCAACAATTGCTGGGTTCGAGGTGGTTTATTTTACTTTGTTTTTAAAAAGAAGGCTATGGCTCTTTCACACAAACATGTCTGACTGCAGGCAGACAAATCACAGCACCTCGGCCTGCAACAGTATTATATTTCAACCTTCAGGCAGGTAGGCAGAGCCCTGTGCTGCACAGCAAAATACAGACCGCCAGGAAGAGGTGTGCAAGCAACTCTGACTTACTTGTATACAGGTATATGGACAATCCTTCTCCTTCTGTCTGACCATCAGCCGCCACTGCAAATACTGTGAAACTGTACATCATCCCAGGGATTAACTCGGTAATTTCAGTTCTGGTGACACTGGATGTCAGGTTCCTAACAGAGGTACCGCTTACAACCTCTATCCTGTACGTGTAGGAGTTGGAATCAGTGTCGTTCACCACCCATGTTAAATTGACAGAAGTCATGCCAACATATTCTGCCTTGAGATCGTGGATTGGGTTGGGCTCTGTGAAAGGCAAAACAACAACCTGTCAACCTGCAAGAACATCTGCTCACATACATGGACAGAACACACACAGGCACACCACTACCTCACTCTCTTCACATCACCCATTGCTCAGGGTGCAGGAGCACCCAACATCACCAGATGCTCCTGGAGGCTTCTGCATCAATGGCTGGATAACAGAAAAATGAGATGGAGGCATCTCAAGCACAATCCATCTCCTCTTGACATTCAAAAGCAGGAGCACAGGTCACCACGGTGCCAGCACTCCCAGAGTTTTCCCTGGCAAACCAGAGATGAACAGGAAGGAGAGAAGAGAGGAGGGGAAAGATAGTGGTCATGCATCTCTGCACAGCAAAAAGTAAGGAAGAATAAATATCACTGGAAGAGGAACAGAGGTGATAACCCAGGCACCCTGCTCCTTCATTCCTCATGCCCTGAACTCACTCCCATGGCAGAGAGAACACCTCCCAAAGCCCCCTCTCCTGCATCCTATTCTCTGTGCATCTTCAAACCTGGGCAACTAGCCATTACAGCCAGGCAGCACAGGAGAGACTTTTTGGAAGCAACTGGAAAGGTAGCACAGGTGCAGGTACATTTCAGGACAACACAAATGACAAGAACAGGCATCTTTTTTTCTTTCAAATACATCCAACGACCAGGCTGGGCTGCAGTCTTGCAGGCTGGCTCCAAATGGTTCCTCCAACACCACGTGTCAAGACTTTTGATACTCAACACAGCAAGGTGCTGGATGGCCAAAGCAGTTCTCCTGAACTAGCACTGCCGAAATGTCACTCTCCTGCTGCAGCCTGATGGCAGCTATGGGCCCCCAAATCATGAAAGTTCCCCTGCCACAATATATTGTGTGGGAGCCCCTTAAAATAAGAATCTGAGGCCTCCATCCTCTAAGAAATTAATGCAATCCCCATTTCCAAATTTGGAAGAGAGGGGTCCTCAGAGAAAAATCTCTTCTCTGTGTTGCAGGCCTTGGGGACACTTCAACAAGAGCTTTCTATCAAGACAATGTTTCTTCTGCACTTTAACATTTCATGCTTGGCAGATTGGCCATCTCCAGCTCCAGGATCAAACCATCACCTCTGCCTGCAACCATATTAAAATACAACCCTCAGGCAGGTAGGCAGAGCCCTGTGCTGCACAGCAAAATACAGACCGCCAGGAAGAGGTGTGAAAGCAACTCTGACTTACTTGTATACAGGTAGATGGATGATCCTTCTCCTTCCGTCTGACCATCAGCCGCCACTGTGAATACTGTGAAACTGTACATCATCCCAGGGATTAACTCGGTAATTTCAGTTCTGGTGACACTGGATGTCAAGTTCCTAACAGAGGTACCACTTACAACCTCTATCCTGTACGTGTAGGAGTTGGAATCAGTGTCGTTCACCACCCACGTTAAATTGACAGAAGTCATGCCAACATATTCTGCCTTGAGATCGTGGATTGGGTTGGGCTCTGTGAAAGGCAAAACAACAATCTGTCAAGACAAAGAAATAAAGAAAGAAAAGCCACAGGCACATTTCCCTATTCCACATAGAATGAGCATTATTTATAGCCAAGCAGCACTTCTACAGTATCAATGTCTATTTTCAGACATTCATGCTGGGGCAACTCTGGAAGGCCACAGGAGTTCTGGGGGCTATTCTCTTTACTTTCTTTCAAATGCGAAACTGATTTGTTTCTACAGTGGTTTTCCAGACAGAGAAACAGATGGAAATCAGGGAAGGAAGCAGAGTGCAGGGTAATCTTGGTCTGTTAACTCAAACTGGTGCCCATGAGTCTGAATCTAAGCCCTTCAGCCCAGTCTCTCCTCGACGTCAGTAGAAGGAAATGGGCTCCTCAAGCAGGTTCAACAGTTCAGGGAGGGGAGGATGTGTCTGCAAGCCTGATTCAGCACCAACACTAGGCAGACAAGACTCGCCTCAGGCAGCATAGACAAGCTCATCTGCTCAGTAGCAGTTCCAGGACACACAGCTTCTAATTGTTTTGGAGGGATGTTTCCCGTTCCCTTTCTACCGCTGAGCTAGATACAAAAGAAGGATCCTCTCCTCCCATCTGTCCCTCTGATCTGGGAAAAAGGGGCCATGACACAAAGCTGGCAAAAATGGCACCGCATGCCATAATGTGGCCCTAGGCACTGTCAGAGCCCACAGGACCCCCAGGCCAGGGACTCTGCAAAGACATCAAAACAATCTTTAAGAACAAAAAGCCTCTGTGATCCTGACAACCACATCCGAGCACATATCCTTCGGTATGAGTTGTCACAACCTGCTCCCAAAAGCACTGGAGGGGCCCTACTCAGCCCTCAAGTCTAGAGAAAGTCACGTTGTTGTAGCAGCTGGATGTCTACATAGTCCTGAGCAGCCAATCTGATGAAAAAACAACTTTATAGCCAAGGCGCACACAGACAGAGGCACATACATCTCAGTCCTTTTCCCTTTTACCAAAGACCACTTGGCATTTGTGCGCACAGACAGCTGGAGCAAAGAAACATCAGAATGAGAAAGTACAAAGTTGGAGACCCAAGGTAAAAAGCAGGGCCATTCGGTACAAAGGGCACGTTTACTTGCAACTGAGAGGCACCATATCCTTACTTGTACACAGGCTTATAGACAATCCCTCTCCTTCCGTCTGACCATCAGCCGCCACTGCAAATACTGTGAAACTGTACATCATCCCAGGGATTAACTCGGTAATTTCAGTTCTGGTGACACTGGATGTCAGGTTCCTAACAGAGGTACCGCTTACAACCTCTATCCTGTACGTGTAGGAGTTGGAATCAGTGTCGTTCACCACCCACGTTAAATTGACAGAAGTCATGCCAACATATTCTGCCTTGAGATCGTGGATTGGGTTGGGCTCTGTGAAAGGCAAAACAACAACCTGTCAACCTGCAAGAACATCTGCTCACATACATGGACAGAACACACACAGGCACACCACTACCTCACGCTCTTCACACCACCCATTGCTCAGGGTGCAGGAGCACCCAACATCACCAGATGCTCCCAGAGGCTTCTGTGTCAATGGGCAGCTAAGGGAGAACTGAAGAAAAGTTATTCTGAGTGGGATTCATCTCCCTTTGACGCTCCAAAGCAGAAGCATAGGTCACCACTGCGCCAGCGCTCCCAGGGCTTCCCTTGGCAATCTAGAGAGGTGGGCAGGAAAGGGAAGAAGATGGAGGGGAAGGAAGCTGGAGGGGGTTGGTTTGGTTCACTGGTTTTTAATTTTGTTGTGGGGGAATTTTTGTTTTAGGGCAGAGGGGTTAGATGGTGTTGATGTTTTTTAAAAAGAAAATAAATCTGGGCTCTATTTCCTCTACACATTTAACACCTCATTCTTAGTAGACAGTCCAGGTAAGTCTTGTATTATATATCAACCCTCAGGCAGGTAGGCAGAGCCCTGGGCTGCACAGCAAAATACAGACCATGAGAAACAGGGCTGCAACTAACTGTGACTTACTTGTATATACACGTATGGACAATCCTTCTCCTTCCGTGTGATCATCAGCTGCCACTGCAAATACTGTGAAACTGTACATCATCCCAGGGATTAACTCAGTAATTTCACTTTTGTCAACACTGGATGTCAGGTTCCTAACAGAGGTACCGCTTACAACCTCTATCCTGTACGTGTAGGAGTTGGAATCAGTGTCGTTCACCACCCACGTTAAATTGACAGAAGTCATGCCAACATATTCTGCCTTGAGATCGTGGATTGGGTTGGGCTCTGTGAAAGGCAAAACAACAATCTGTCAACCTGCAAGAACATCTGCTCACATACATGGACAGAACACACACAGGCACACCACTACCTCACGCTCTTCACACCACCCATTGCTCAGGGTGCAGGAGCACCCAACATCACCAGACGCTCCCGGAGGCTTTTGTGTCAATGGGCAGCTAAGGGAGAACTGAAGATGAGTCATCTTGACTATGACACTCCAAAGCAGAAGCACAGGCCATAACTGTGACAGAACTCCCAGGGCTTCCCTTGGGAATCTAGAGAGGTGGGCAGGAAAGAGATGGACTAGACTAGACTGTTTCATTTGGAAGGGACTTACAATGATCATCTAGTCCAACTGCCTGACCACTTCAGTGCTGACCAAAAATTAAAGTTTATGACTGAGGACATTGTCCAAATGCCTCTTAAAGACTGACAGGCTTGAGGCATCCACCACCACTCCAGGAAGCCTATTCCAGTGTTTGACCACCCTCTCGGTAAATAAATGCTTCCTAATGTCCAGTCTGAACCTCCCCTGGCACAGCTTTGAACCATTCCCACATGTCCTATCCCTGGATCCCAGGGAGAAGAGCTCAGCACCTCCCTCTACACGTCCCCTCCTCTGTAGGGGAGGCTGTGGAGAGCAATGAGGTCACCCCTCCGCCTCCCCTTCTCCACACTAGACAAACCCAAAGCCCTTGGCTGCTCCTCACAGGACATGCCTTCCAGCCCTGCCACCAGCTTTGCTGCCTTCCTCTGGACACACTCAAAGACCTTCAGATCCTTCTTAAATGTCAGGGCCCAGAACTGCACACAGTGCTGGAGGTGAGGCCGCACCAGCGCTGAGCACAGCAGGATAATCCCCTCTCCTGCCTGGCTGGCTGTGCTGTGTTTGGGGCACCCCAGAATGGGCTTTGCCCTCCTGGCTGCAGGGGCACGCTGCCGACTCATACTGAGCCTGCTGCCCACCAGCACCCCAGATTCCTTTCTGCAGGGCTGCTCCCCAGCCACTCCACTCCCAGTTTATACTTGTGCCCAGTGTTACTCCAAGGTGCAGAATCTGGCATTTGGACTTGCTAAAATTCATCCCACTGATCATTGCCCAATGCTCCAACCTACCCAGATCCCTCTGCAAGGCTTCTTGTCCCTCAAGAGAGTCGGCAGCACCTCCCAGTTTGGTATCCTCAGCAAAAAGGCTGAATGGTGCATTCAACTCCTGCATCCAGATCGTCGATGAACACATTGAACAGGACTGGCCCTAGGACTGAGCCCTGCGGAACACCGCTGGGGGCCGGTCGCCAGCCAGATGCAGCCCCATTCATTACAACCCTTTGAGCTCTGCCCTTCGGCCAGTTCTTCACCCAGCACACCGCGTCCCTGCTCATCCCACAGTTGGACAACTTGTCCAGAAGGATGCTGTGAGGGACAGGATCAAAAGCCTCACTAAGATCCAGAAAAACTACATCCATCACCTTCCCTTCATCCACCAGGCAGGTGACGGTATCCTGAAAGGATATCAAATTAGTTAAACAGGACTCTCCCTTTGTGAACCCATGGCGACCATGCCTGATGGATGTGTTATTCTTTAAATGCCTTTCCATAGAACGCACGACGATGTTCTCCATAATTTTTCCATGAACCAAGGTTAACCTAACAGGTCTGTAGTTCCCTGGGTCTTCTCTTGCGCCGTCCCTGTAAATTGGAATACCGCTGGCCGGCTTCCAGTCAGCAGGGACCTGCCTGGACTCCCCAGACCTTTGGTAGATGATCGAGATGGGTCCTGCTGTAACATCCGCCAGCTCCTCTGGGATGAACCCCACCAGGCCCCACGGAATTGTGAACATTCAGCTGATACAGCTGGTCCCTGACAATTTCAGTGTCCACAGATGGGAAGTCACTGTTCCCACACTCGCGGTCCTCCAACTCAGGGGACTGGGCAGCCCAAGGTCTACCAGCGTCAGTAAAGACTGAGGCAAAACACGCATTGAAGGCCCCCACTTTTTCTTCATCCCTATTAGTCGGGTGACCACCTTCAACAAGTATTGAAGTATTGAAAACAATGTTTTCTTTAGACCTCCTCTTGTTATTAATGTACTTTAAAAAGCCTTTCTTGTTGTCTGACACAACAATGGCTGGTTTCAACTCTAACTGCGTTTTGGCCTTTCGTGTCTTCTCCCTGAATATATGAACCACATCTCCGCAACTTTCCTGCAAAGCCTGACCTTGCTTCGAGAGATCACATAATTTCTTTTTCCTCTTGAGCTGCAGGAGTTCCCTGCTCAGCCATGCTGGACTTCTACCCCGCTTGCTTGACTTCTGACACAGCAGAATTGCCTGTCCCTGCACTCCTAAAAGGTGGCCCTTAAAGACTGAGCAGCACTCGTGGACTCCTAAACCCTCAAAAGCAGATTCCCAGGGTAGTCTACTAAGTAGCTTTCTGAATAGCTTAATGTTTGCTCTCTTGAAGTCCAGGGTAGTAATTCTTCTGTCTTTTTCTCTCTTTACACTGAAAGTTTTGAATTCAACCATTTTGTGATCACTGTGGCCAAGACTGCCACTTCCCATGACATCTTCCACAAGTCCTCCTCCATTCACATAAAGCAAGTCCAGGAGGGCATCTTTCCTAGTTGGCTCCCTGAGTACCTGTGACAAGAAGTTATCTCCCATATGAGGAGATGAGGTTTGGAAGGGAAGGAGGGTTCGGTTTGACTGGTGATGTTTTGTTGTTTGTTTTTTGTTTTGTGCTATTGTTTGTTTGTTTGTTTTTATTTTAACTCAAAGCAGGGACATGTTTCTTCCACACATTAAGACCCCATGCTTAGTAGACAGCCTGGAATAGGCTCCAGGATTAAAACATCACATCTATACAAAACAGTTCTATATTTCAACTCTCAGGCACTGTGCTGCACAGCAAAATACAGACCATGAGAAACAGGGCTGCAAGAAACTGTGACTTACTTGTATATACACGTATGGACAATCCTTCTCCTTCCGTCTGACCATCAGCCGCCACTGTGAATACTGTGAAACTGTACATCATCCCAGGGATTAATTTGGTAATTTCAGTTCTGGTGACACTGGATGTCAGGTTCCTAACAGAGGTACCGCTTACAACCTCTATCCTGTACGTGTAGGAGTTGGAATCAGTGTCGTTCACCACCCACGTTAAATTGACAGAAGTCATGCCAACATATTCTGCCTTGAGATCGTGGATTGGGTTGGGCTCTGTGAAAGGCAAAACAACAACCTGTCAACCTGCAAGAACATCTGCTCACATACATGGACAGAACACACACAGGCACACCACTACCTCACTCTCTTCACACCACCCATTGCTCAGGGTGCAGGAGCACCCAACATCACCAGACGCTCCTGGAGGCTTTTGTGTCAATGGGCAGCTAAGGGAGAACTGAAGAAAAGTTATTCTGAGTAGGATTCATCTCCCTTTGACGCTCCAAAGCAGAAGCACAGGTCACCACTGCGCCAGCGCTCCCAGGGCTTCCCTTGGGAATCTAGAGAGGTGGGCAGGAAAGGGAAGAAGATGGAAGGGAAGGTGGGGGAGATAGCTGAAAACAAAAACATCAGAGCTATGTTTCTGCTGCACACTAACATCCCATCCTTTGCATATAGGCCAGATCAGGCTCCAGGACTAAAATATCACATCTATACAAAATAGTATTGAATTGCATTCCTCACATAAGTAGGTAGAACCCTGAGCTGAACAGAAAAATAGTCCACCAGAGACAGGGCTGCAAGAAACTGTGACTTACTGGTATACAGGTATATGGACAGTCCTTCTCCTTCTGTCTCATCATCATTTGCTACTGCAAATACTGTGAAATTATACCACATCCCAGGCATTAACTCTGTAATTTCAGCTTTGGTGATATTGGATGTGAGGTTCCTAACAGTGATACCATTTACAACCTCTATCCTATACGTGTAGGAGCTGGAATCAGTGTCGTTCACCGCCCATGTTAGGCTGACAGAAGTCATGTCAACGTACTCTGCCTTGAGAGCAAGAATTGAGATGGGCTCTGTGAAAGGCAAGAAAAACAATAAAAGAAATCTTTTAACCTGCAAGACTATTTGCTGACAAACACAATGAAGCACTCTCCTCCCCAGCCCACCCAAATAACAGGTCTCTCTAAAAGAGTAATCAGCCTGGGAAAGTAATGAAGCCATCCTTGTACGCTGCAAGGCACACTTGCCAGCTCTGCAATCTAACTCAAGTCTCACTTTATGTCAAGGAGTAAAACTAAGTGCAGCAGTGATTACTATCCTGCCCCAGCTCTCAACTTCACGCAGGGTGCTGAGTAAGACCGGAACACACAGACCTGCTGTTACTCTTTCCTACGCTGGCTATCCCAAAGAGAAGAGCCTTTCTAGCTGCAAGACTCACATGCCTCTGCTCTAGATAGGTGATACAGCACCCTCTATATTAGAGTACTTCAGCTGCACTCTGTTAGTATGTATTTCAAATCTCTATGTCACAATATGTTTGAAATGTTACAGCTGCAACCTGAAAAGCTCTAACAAGCAGGGAAGGGAGGCCAAGTCTAACAGTGATAAAACTATTCCAAGACCACATGCCAATCACAGCGTTAAACTGCACTCCCAGGCAGATGTGCAGACACATCTCTTTGGCTCATTCTCTATTCCAGTAAAGCAGTTGGATCCACACCCCTGCAATGCTCTTTGCACTCTGAACTAGAGCTCAGGCTTAAAATGCTAATGCAGTATAAAAGCACAAAACCCCCTGAAGATTCACAGCACAGACACATTCCAAACCACTTACGTGTTACATTCTTCCCACTACTTATTGCCCTGTCGGATAGTGACACATCTCTGGTCCATCTTCCCCCTCCATAGGTTTTGGTCCCACTTAGAGAGTTTACTGATGATTTATCACTACTACTGGTTCCTGTTTCTGCAGTTACATTTTTTGAGATGCAATCCTCAGTGCCTGAAAGAAAGAACACAAAGCAATAAGTATCTTTACAAAACTTTGGAGTTTCCCATTTGAAAAATTATAGTCATTCATAGATATCATGCACAGAACCACAGCCACTTCTGCTTTCCCAGTTTCTTCTCCTACAGAGATTTCACTGCACATTTCCTGGTTTTACCACTTCTAACTTCTGTGAGACAATTTGGATTAGATTAAGAGATTGGCACATTATTTTGGTCATTCATTGACTCTACTTGTGGTTTGGATGAAGCTACCATGATCTGCTTTCTTTCAGCGCAGCTTTATTTGAAAAGAATTGAACAAACTTGCAGCCACATTCTGTGTGTGTATTTTCCTCATGCATTATCAGAAGCTAGCTGCTTTACTTAACCTGGCATAGCAATTTTGTCTCTTCCCCCAATGTACAAGTAAAAAGTTCTCACTCTCACAGTGTGTTCCCACAAGTAAGGAAGAGACATGGTATACCTACAGAAAACAAATTTAGGTTGATGTAGCGCAGCTGGAAGTGTGAAGAGAGTTCACTCAGCCCATGAAATTTAAAGGCAAAGTCGCTCAAGTCTAATGTTCAATATTAAGGTAGAACTCATCTGCAAGTACTTTTGGAAATTTCTGCCACATGAAAATTTGTCATCTTGGAAAGCACAGCAGTTGCTATGCTCATGTCAGAAAATCCCTAAAGCATCACTTTGGGTGTCTTTTTTGTTTTGGGGTTTGTTTGGTTTGTATTGCCTTTAAGTATATTTTCCAGTCTTTCTAAGCACATTATATCAGTACTTGATTTCAAGAGAACTCTTTACAAACTGAGGACATATTTATATCTTTAAATATTCTTAAATGTATTGCAGGGATTACAGTCCCTAAAATAAAAAAGTATACATTTTTGAATCCTATTTTTAAAAATTCTTTTCAGGAAGTTTTTTTAAATACTTAGCTGATACTGTTTGATCTTTCTTAAAAGAAATTAAGATAATGTGAGTTATATTAAAAAAATAAAATAAAATTGAGAAACAGATGATACTTACAGGCAATTGTACATCTGACCTGGAAAAGAAACATAAATAATAGAAATTAAAACTTTAAAACTACTGGAAGCTCAGATAAAATATGGACCAGTTTAATTAACACACAGGAGAGGGGGAGGAGGAGGGGGAATCCGTTTAAAAAAATCCAAGCTTTTCAACCGGCAGAAGAGATACCTAAAAATCTACTGACATAATAACAACACCAAAAGTATACCAAACTATTAGGGGGGAAAAAAAAACCAAAACCACAACCCACAACATTCTGGTAAAATGTTAGTTTCCACTTTTTTTTTAAACCAGTTTATTTTGCCACAAAACCTTGCATAACATATGCTGGTTATTTTATGGATATGCACTTAAAAACAAAACCTACAAGATCTTAATCAAAAGCCACTTTAGTTAGTACCTTCAACACCATCCCACAAAAAAACAGCAGATGTGATTTAGGTCTTTTTTATTCATAAGATTTTTCTCCTTTCATCCTATTGCTGTATAATCTTTCTTATTCCCACAAAAGAACATTTTGCATTTTCTGAAACAAACTCAGTGTAGCCGAAGTTAAAAACATTTAGCATATATTCTGAAATCTAGTTTATGTATGTGTACAGAAGGTCTCAGCAGTTGCTGTTTAACTGCAGCCTGAAACTACTCTGCTAGCAATACTGACAAGCACACCAGAATTTTGCTTTGAAAATGTTTTTCAGCCTTTCAACTTCATGATTTTAGTTCCGAATAAGCCCTTTCCCTTCCTGTTAGTGTGCAAACTGGCCTGAAAATTTTCTTCGTCTCCCTCCAGGTGGCAGCACAGAATGTTCCTAAAGTTGTGAAATCAGGGGCCCAGCCCGAGGCCTGCGGCACCCGGGCGGGTCCCCGCCATTCCCGGGACTCGCAGCTGATGCCAACCGACCGCAGCAGCCGCTTCTGTCATCTAACAAACAAAATTACCTCAGCGATTGTACCACGGATTAAATACGACGAGTCACCTTGCAAAGCCACACGTGACAAGGCAAACCCAAGCATGCGGAGATACGTGTGCCAAGGTCAGGCGGGTCCCCGCAGCGCCCTGTGCCCGGGCATGGGAGGGTTCTGCCCATGCAGCCCTGGCTCTGGTTTTGGCATCGTGGGGGGTGCAGGCAGAGAGCATCCAGCCCCGGTGGCTCTAACATCACCTGCAGAAGGGCTGGTCTTTTAGTTGGACCTTATACTGTGTTGCTTCTAGAAAAATCCAGCTTAGCTTCATGTCGGATGGTGCCTTACCCACACAAAGCACTAAGCCTGCTGAAGGCAGAGGTTGACACATTTATCTAAAGCACTTGAAATTGTCTCATATTCTTTTTCCACCCCATTTTCTCAGACAGTGCCTTAGCTTTTGCTGCAATTCCATGAGCTAACTCAAGCAGCCACATCACAGCAACCCAATGCAATGCTTGAATCACAAATCACTCACCCTCCAGCTCTCATGTTGCTGCTGCCACACGGAGCTCCATCAGCAGTAACACCCTGCACCCAGTCACCGGGCCCAAGCAGACACACCCTCAAAAAGTAGTCAGAAGATACCATTAAACCTTGTTCTCCATATGAGAGCCTACAAAAAGCACTCTCCACAAAGATGAGGCAGGCCAGCTGACTAGAAGCAACACTGGAAGCAACCCCTCCAGCTTCACAGGAAGGAGAAATGCAGCAGAAGCGAGCTTCAAGTGGAAGGACCCCCTTCCAGCCTGTGACAGTCTTAGTGCCACAGCAAGAAGAGTTTGGGCACACTTCCTAGCAAGAGCACTTGCAGGCACCCAAGAACTAACGCCTGGTCTTCTCTAGCACAGCCCTACTGACAACTCAGCACACACAGGATACTACTTGGAATGCAGATGGCTCCTCCTCAACCTTTCCAAATATTTGAGAGCCCAGCCAAACTGCAAGGCTGTTGAAGTGAGAAAACATTCGTCTGCACTCAGGTCAAGAGCCCTTCCGTATTTTTTCACAAAGAAGTGGCCAAGGAAGAAGAGACTACAAAGGAAAAAGCCACTCTTAAGGCAAGAAAACACTGCCATGCAGCGTTCAGAGCAGAAGTGATAAGCTATGTGGAAATAGCTGCTGAATGACAAGCAAGAGGTTCGATTCCCTGAAAAGCAGGGCAATCTAAAAGCAAAGCCAAAAAGACACTATGCTTAATAAGTAAGGGAAGTCGCAAAAACAATGAAAACAAGAAACACCACAGGACTGAGTAAGTCACAGTGATTTCTGCAGCCCTACAGACAAAACAGCAAAAGCCTGACCTCATTCACAGCCTGTCCTTCAGTGACTTTCTCTTCTGTAAAACTGCCTGAAGATGATGAAGTTTCTCATCCCCTTCTCCCCTGATTCTGAGTTCAGGAGCATGGCATCCTTCCTGAGCAACAGGAACAACAGATCTCATTTAACTGAGAAACAGGTTTGCCACTACCAATTCCCCTGTGCCCCTGCTTCTCACCGTCCCCATTTCTTCCCTGCCAGCTCAAACAAGAAGCATGTTGACTCCTGTTTTACCCCCAGCTACAGTCATCTGATCCAACAGCAAATTATTACCAAGCTGCTAGAAACTTGGTTGTACTGTCACATGTGGGTTTTGTGTTATTGATGCTCAAACAACAAAAGGAAAGTTATGCTAAAACTCCTGTCACATGATGAATGAAGGGCTTCCCATCATTTTACTTGCTTTTGTTTATCACACACTTTGGCAATACCCCCTCACAATACCCCTCTGACTTTCCAGAACCCTACGTGCAAACCAAATTCAAAAAAAGCACCATCCTGTCGGCAGCAGGCAGGCCTCCTTCTGAAACCCAAAACCGCACAAAACAAATGATCCCATTCCCAAGCATCAGCCTGCCTGACTCAGTCATTCCGTGCTGTATTTTTCAACCTAAGCCGTAAACTGAACTGTTCTTCGGCCTTATGTTACTACTTAATGAGATGCTATTTATACAAAACATTTTTTTATTACTTCAGAGGATATTTGCACTGAACACCTGATTCTCCTTCTGTTTGCATGTAATTTATTAGGAGCCCTGCTATCTCCACTGGTCTTTTCAATGACACGAATCCGTATTATTCACGTATAGAGTTGGGTACATTTTAACCAAAAAACTGGAACTTGGGGTAGGGGTGGAACATCTCTCCCCAAAATAATAAAACACAGCAAAATGCTAAACACCGAACATTTCAGCTGAACAACAGGAGAGATGTGTATACACAAACTCATCGCTGTCATCAGCTATGACAAATGAATCTTTTCACGTGTTACACAGCCATGCTTCGAGCCCAATCAAAGGTTGTATCTCCAGAGGAGCTGAAGAATTCATCTGCACTCGCTCAAGGTCTGTCCTGCACTCCTTATGTGTGCAGTTTATTACTGACCAGGAATTGGTGGTGTGTAATAGATGTAGGCTTCAGCACCATCCTCCTCAGGTATACAGTGGGTTGCCTAATTGAGGAATTATCAGTAGTAGTCTTACAGGTAATCTTACCGAGGAATAAATAAGATGTGCTGCAGGAAAACACCTTCAAAAATACTAGGTGACTGAGAAGCCCAAGTTCCTCTGATATTTGTAAGACTTAGACTAAGATATTTTCAGGAACGGGATTTAAAATGTGCCTGCTGCACACATGCATCAGGGGAGCCCCAGGAGCTGGTCAGCAGCAGGGAAGACAGTAGTCTCTCCCCTTCTGCTGGCCATAAGACTTTTGATCGGCTTGGCCCTGCTGCCAAACCGTACCCTCTAACAAAGTCAGGGTTCCTGCACTGGGGGGAAACCCCCTGTTGACAGCAGCCCACCTGCCCGAGGTGCTCCAGTTTCCAAAACAAACAGCGTGGTTTGGTTCGTGTAAATACAAGGTTAAGAAGCTGGCTAAATAGTCAAAGTCAGCAAACCAAAAAATCCTAACCAGAAAAAACCCCCTTAGCCACAAATCCTTCCTGAGAACACTACTTGAGGCTGCTGCTTACTGTTTCTTGTGTGTTCACCAGTGCGTGCCTTGTGACTCAGATGCAAAAAGCCAGGAAATTAATCATAACCCTCTCAAAGCTAACGATCTTTCGTATGTGTACCTTCAGATCCTCTCTTCTCCATCCACCCACCCTCTCAGGTTTAGAGGAGCTCCACAAAAATACCACCAAGCTATCACAGTGGTCTCCAAATTTTTTCCCTTTCACAAAAGCTACAGCATAATTAAAATCCCTGTCCCAGTAACCCTGGTCTCGCTTCCTTTTTTTTTTCCTGCTATGCCCACCAACCATTAGCTGTCACACATCCATAACCATGGGCTTTAGGGCAAGCCACACACTGCAACCATCATGATGGTTTCAAGACTCCAGGCTCTGCTTCACTGATGGTTATCAGTCATCATTGTTTGGCCAACAAATATTAACCACCAAAGACGCAGTAACTCGGCCCCTCTGTCACCTCTGATATTTCATACTTGGCACAGGTTTATTCAGAAAGCATTCCCACAGAAAGGTTTTACTCAAGGTCACACAAAGTAAGTGAAAATTAAACCCTGGAATACCACTGGGAAGCCCCACAATAATGGAAGTGGGATTGCCCAGGTATTGTATCCACAGACTGATACAGCTTCCCAATACTTGCTGATTTTCTAGGATTTGTAAGGTGTTGACTGCTATTCCAGCTGAGGACATCTTCACACTTCACCGGGAGTGTAAAGTCTAAATCAGCAGGGAGCGACACCTTCCTGCAGAAGACAGTCTCAGAGACAGGATGGTGTTTGGAAAGAGGTAATGTTTCTGTCTCTTGCAACCAATCTCAGGGCTGTTTCACCTCATTCATTTCCACATTATGTCCAAATTAATGGAAGTCTGTAGGCTCACAGCAGCAGGAAAGAAAAATGAGATCACTTGAACTGGGGCATAAAACTACGTACCTAAATCTGTATGAACCTAGTTCTAGTAGCATGCCTTATTTTGGCAAATTCTGGGTTTTGGAGTGAAAAATATCACACTGGGAAATGAGCTAAAATATACCTGTGTAATATTTTGCTCTATTTTCTAATTTCTTCCTAAAAATGTCATAAGTCTTCAATTGCAAAGCGCTTCTCTGCATTTAAGCAGACAACCTCTAAGCACAAATCGTTGTACTGTTATACTATTGTAAAATGCATAGAAATCTATATGCAATTAAAGATATGCCAAGCCAAGAAAAGCAAGCGTTTCCCCCTGTGCTTACTGCATGAAAAGAAAGGAGACGATGTAGATTAAGCCTGTGTGCTGCGGGTTTGCTCCAAGCCATGTGAACAGTCTAGGTATCAGTTTTGGTGGTATTTGTGAATACTCTGCCCTCCTGTATCAGGTCCTTACTACATGAAGGAGGAAGTAGTCAACGGGAGGCTAAGTCAGAACCTAACACTTTATTATGTTATATAGTTTCATTTAAGATTGATTACTTTCTGGATTTGGTGCTAAGGTTTGGGGCTCTGTTTTGTTTTTTTCCTTTTCCAGTGTGTATTTGCTCTGCTAAATTAATTTTAACTGTAACCCAAAATAGCATTTTTTGTTCAAATTAATTCTAGATGATCTCAATAATATGACACGTTCGCTTCCAACGAAAAACTGAAAATATGCTGCGGCAAGTGTCAGTTCCACGTGTTTTCCCTCTGGTATCTTAGGCAGGCAGTCACAGCCCATCCACAAAACACCATTTCACAGAATGTTCGGTTTAAGTGGGTTTATACTGGGGAGAAAAAGCTCTAATTTTAGAAGCAGTGCACTAAGTTTTTGCAAGATCTTTGGAGTCTTCTCTTCTTTTAAGCCTAAATGAGCAGCTCAACTAATGAGACTGCATTGGACCAGATGGAGATCCAGAACGCAGAAAAAAGAAACATGAGCTGATGTTTGTTATTAACTGGGTAGGGCTGGACCCCCTTAGGACACCACGCTGTATTAGGAAGCTATGCAAAACCCTAAAGCACTCGACAGCCATACACAACTCTGCACAGGCTATTTTGAGCTATTATACAGTTATGTGAAAGAG